AATGTTGCAAATGCGGATTAATGAGTATTGCGTCGCACTTCAAGCTCGTGCGGAAAGAGTTGCCGCTTCTGGGCAGAACTCTGCGCAGTGGACTGTATTCTTGTCTCGATCAGTGCAGCGGCTTTTCCAGCAAGTCCCTTGCCGTGAAACGGAGCAGAATCACGCTCAACGTTCGTCTCTCCACACCGCGTAACTGGTGGAAGCTCGTAGCAACGAGCTTCGAGACCTGACCCTATAGGGCGCGATGTAACTTACCGCACCAGGCCGGCCTCGAGGATGACGAACTGCAGCAGTGCGTTTAACGCAACGGGACTGCCCAAGCCGTCAGCTGTTTCTAATTCAATCTTAGAGGTGGCCTAAGACGGTGGATTCAGTCTGCAATCGACCAATGAACCCGAGTTGAACGCAACTCCGAAATGCCTAGTTACTGGAACAAATCGTGGCTCTTATTCGCTTCACCGCGAACTTCTGCGTGGCCGCTATTTCCTGTGATCGAGGTTCCTCCTAGCTTGGAACTTATACGTCTTGCCGAACCGGCGATTCACTACGTCTTAATTCGCGAGTCGAACTACTTTTTCGCGATGTTCGCACCGTGACAATCCGTCGTTGACTCAGGCGGAATCGACGATGTAACGCTCGGACACCGACCTCGGCGCGCAGCCTAGAAGAGTCGCGCCGATCCGCTCTCTCACTCGTTCTTATTCCTTTTCCCACTCTGCATATCCAAATTTGAATTCTCCGATCCGTTGCCGGCCGGGCATTGACTTCGATCGCGGGAAGGCAACGATCCTCCGTGCCGTTTTTTGCCGCGCAATCCGGCGCGTGTCGCGATAAACACTCGCTCCGGAGGTCGTCGAACACCGATATGTTATTGTTCTCGCGGTTAGCTCGATTTCTAACTTCGGAGAAAAAACCTCAATCCGAAGGCCGTGCTAATGACCGAACCGCGACTCGAATTTATAAAATTAATATTCGATTTTTAAACAAAAAGAAACATTTCTGAGTCATTAGAGAGGTCAATTCCTGAACATGATTCTATCGACCGAACGCGTTAATGCAACAAAACAAACCGGGTGTCTCGTCTCGCGATCACTTACAGTCTAGCAACTAACATGCTAACATTACATTATATTCTCCGAACACCCCGCCGTACTTATACTCTATCTTCGGATCAGCCGTGACAAGTTCCACAGGTGTGGATTGGAATCTCTTTCCGTCTCGCAGTTGTCCATGGCGAATCATCAATCTCCGACTCCTTTCTTTGACCGATTCGCAACATCAGCGTGCCCCCTCTATTTCATAGCACTCCTTCAATCGTAACAAATTGAAATTAGTCACAATTCAATCACACCTCAAACTAAAGTACATACAAAAGCCTCGTTCTCATAATGGACTAGTCCGATATTTAAGGTTCGATTCGTAAGTATAAAAGTCAAAATATCCGTGTCTCTATATGGCTCCCTCGAGTTCATAACTTTATTATTGTTTACTCTGTTCGTTCAATCGGACTCTGATCCCGTGTCTACTCGACGTTCAAAAACTCGATTGAATCAATTAAGACAAGGCAGACCGAATTACAATCCAAACAGTATACAAATGAAGAAATATGTATAATAAAAAGAGAGACAACTGTCTGCTCACCTTTCGCTCTTTGACCTATTATGTCCTCCTTTGTGCCCCTCTCTTTTCGCTAAAGGCTTTGTCATCAGTTGTCTCACGACAGCCGGAGCCGCCTCTGTCATCCCCGTTGTTTCCTCCAGGGGCAAAGATACTAACAGCGTAGACGATGATCCGGAAGAATCCTTGTCCGCGCTTGCCACTCCCGAGTCGTCCTCATTATCTGTACCCTTCCGCGCGGCTGCCGCCGCTTTACCCTTGACCTTTTCTTTGCCATAGGCGAAGCCATCCTCGACCTTGGCACGACACCTGAACGGCGTCGACGAACCCCTGGCTCGTCCCTCTTTAACGACACGCACCGTCTCCTGGGCCAATCCGATTTCCATTTCCTCGAACCCCTCCAGGTTCGCGGACAATATGAATTCGTCCCCTGACGCATCAAAGGGAGGTTCCTCGTTCCTCTGCGAGGGAACTTCCTCTATGGTAGTGGTATCGTTCAATTCTGAACCAGCCGTGTCGACGACCTCCTCGACCAGCGGGTTGTCAACAACAGCATCGCCTCCCAGATCGGCCAAGAAGTCATCCTCCGTGATGTCGATTTCTTCCGGCTCCCTCGACCGTCGCGTATTCTTCGCTGGCGACACCGTAAGTATATTAAACTTGTGCACTCCATCCTGGTCCAGCGAGAGGCGGTTACGCCTCTTCCTGAGGGTGCCCACCGAGCGACCCTCCATCTCCAGTGTGATTATCAAACCAGACCTCGTCTGTTTCTCTCTTATTACCCTCCAACGAGAGGTATCCAACCCAGCGTTGAACCGTTGCTCTTCCACTATATTCCTTCCAGTAAATCTGGAATGAGTCGCCCTGCCTTCCACCAGGAAGCGATTGTCCAGGGCTTGCTTTTCCTCGACCTGCAGAGCGCATCCAGTCGTTAATTTCACGAATTTAATGGCTACCTTCATCCAGCGAACTGTTATCTCCGAGTCACAGTCGAGAAGTATGCCCCCGTTCTTCTTGAAAAACGAGAGGAATCCAGGCTGCATATATATCGGAGGGATTTCTTGCGTCTTGCATCTATATAGCTCATAACACATCTGTTGAGAGCATCTCTGAACTCCTCAGCCTCCGTGAAAGTGAGGACTCTCTCAGGAAAGCCCGCTGGCACAATCGCCACCTGGTAAGATTGCTCCAGCTCTTCTCGTGCGAACTGGCGACTCATCTCGAACGTATCAAAGAACTTTGCACTCGTAATGTAATAACAACGGTTCAAGCTGCGATCGATCCGGATCAAGACACACTCCGGAACGGAGGGTCGACTCAGACTATTGGTTCCCCACGCTCCTGGTTCAGTCCTTTTATCTCCGCGCACAACCTCCCCTTCTCTCCTTGTTCCTTCCAGCTTCCTCAACCAATCAGAGTCACCTATCCCATTGCCATTGGTCCTTCAAAACTCCCCTCTTTCCAGCTTCTCTTAGTCGACTCCCATATCCTTCGTCTCAGAAAACCGGAAACAGAAGATTTACATATAAATTTATCAATCGATCGTTCTGACATATCACCTCTTCCCGTCATCTTTCTGTCGCTCTGATACCACATAAGCAGCTAAACGTCCCTTCTCAGTACCATAGTTTCAATAATTATTAGACATATACATGACCGATTTATAGATCAAAAAATAAATGAACCCAAAAAAACTCCTCATTATACCAGGCCGACTCTTACCATCCAAGACTTTTAAACAACACCGGACAGCATAAACTGGAATGAAAAGATTCTTCCGAACCGACTCGTTATTTGTAACAATGCAACATGCACAAAAGAAAACTGTAAACATGCCGCATGCCCAAGGGTCTAGAAACAATACGTCGCTTCAGCAACGTTTCTACTTAACACTCTCTGATCACCACCGATCCAAATATATAATAGTAAATTAAGATAAAAAGTAAAATAAATGAATTATAATAAAAATGAGTTTCGTTCTTCAGTGGAACGGTATCGTTCCTTCCTTCGACACCCTTTTCGATCTAAATTTTCCATTCCCTTTACTCTTAAAAATTCTCAACCATACCTCCAGCTACTAATTCTCCAAATACTTACAAATTGTTTATGTAGAAATGAACAATTCACAAACCATTCTCCTTTACCGTTTCCTTCTCAGAGAAAATTCCCACCACCGCAATAATCCGACCAGACCTAGAGCCCCTCTCGGATTTGACATTAAACAATTACCCTGGTCAATAACAAATCGCATCTCGATCACAGCATAAAGCCTTTGAAGCAACAATCCATTACCACTTTAAACTCCTACGACTCTGTAATAGATCTAAACAAAGCTACGCTGCGTCGCATCATTTCTCAAGAGAGCTCGCACAATTTACCCTCCGTGTTATTACAAAACTACACTGATACAATTTCGCATATATATATAAAAATGGAACCTCCTGCATTTATCTCCTCTCGGTCCGCAAAACGTCCGTTATTAATAAGCCAGAGGTTACTCCTTCACCTCGAACCTTGGGTTCACATCGTTTATACGCTGACAATTAATAATAATATGAACAAATTCAAACCTCCGTCGACGGCCGTCATAAATCTGAATAGTTAACCATCCTTTTAATCAACCAACTCTCTACATTATCCTTCGTCAACAATTATAACACTCTATGTGTGTATATACTATAGTATACACTAACACAAATTGTTAATGACATTATCAATATTGGGAGTAACAACAAACTAACCAAGACCGCTGTACCCTCACTATTTTGACCAACCGCTTGCCTTTCTTCTCCCTCCGAACAATACCCAGGTCATTCTTTTGTCCCATCTAAAACCTCTCTCGAGAGCCTTCCTGGAAAAACCCTCGATGGAAATTCCCGTCTTCAAGAACCCTTGACCCTCGACTTATTTATCTGTTTTGCCGATATTCCAGAAAAACGAACAAAACAATCAGATATCCACAAAATCGTTCTACGACTGCAAATATAACCGTCCTGTCCTCTGGCCGTAAACCAAGCGTTCCGTGCAACAGTAATATAAAAAACGATCCCCAAGAGAAACCCTGTGCAATAAACAAATCCGTCAAAAAATTTCATCATCCTTTCCGTGTCTTCCCCCAACATCCAGCCGCATTCTATCTGAAAGTCCCTCCTTTCACGCAAAGAAGTTCTAGGTCACATACTAGTCAACCGGGATCAGTCCCAAATCAATCAATCAAATCAAAACTATAATTTATACCGCATTACGTCACATTATATTATATTGTATTGTACTACGT